GCGAGGAGTGATTCTAATTCTTGTGACTACCAAATAATGCGAAGCCGAGAGGTCATTAAGCAAAACAAATTTCTTAATAAGTGAAATTCTATCGAATATTTAGTTATTTCTAATGGCAGGCGTTTTGATGGTTATCATTACCCCCTTAGTTGACTTCTGGCTTCACAGAGGGGAACGAGCATAAAAGCGAAAAAGGTGGAGTGGGGGGGGGGACAGAAGAGGGTTTCAAAGATGAAGGTAGAAAAGGTAGAAAAATGTGAGGTGAGTACTGTGGAAGTAGTCGAATATGACATAGAGTGGGGTCATGGTAGTTTGAAGTGAGAAGTCAACTGCCGGTTAATAGACTTTTTTGTCCAGGGTGCACCACGTGGAGATGAGTCTATCCCACACCCCATGTACCGTTATAAATCTGTGGAAAGTAATTAACTCTTAAATGATATAGCAATCTGTATTGAAACTCATTTCAACTTTGAATTAAATGCATTTACTTTTTGAGACTTTGCGATTCATGGACGTAAACTGCAAAAGGGCCTTTTACCAAGATTCTACAATATGATTCAGTCTTCTTATTACATAATCGTTCATAATACTTTTTAATTTTGAGAAGCAATGAATTAGGTTGAGACTAAAATTTTGTTATTAACACTACAAACAAAAAATTTAAATGAATGGTAAAATTTGATTATGCAAAAATTACTTATGTTGGCAGCATGTCTGATATTTACCCATCGAAATGTTGAAAATCATCAAATATTCCACTCCAACGCTTTTGCTTATGCATTCTTTTTAGGAAATCAAAAATTGTAATAAAATTCATCTTTTTTGTTAAAATAAAAGTATTTTGACTTATGTACAATGAATTGAAAATGTAAGATGAGTACTGTGAAAGTAATCGAATATGGCATACAGTGGGATCATGGCAGTTTGAAGTCAGAAGTCAAATGCCAGTTAGTAGACTTTTTTTGCCGTATGTGTATACGTTGTCCAGGGTGCACCACGTGGAGGTAAGTCTATCGTGCACCCCACTTTACTAAAAATAACCCTACTGAATATAGGCTTTCCGTGCTTTGTGCCTGCTTCCTCTATAGATGGACTTTAGCTTGGATAGTTCTGGGAGTCTGGTCAGAAGTAGGAGAATCTGCCACAGAGATTTCTGAGTCAGACAGGCCTTTTTTAGTGTAGCAAACTGCTACACAAGATAAGCTAATAATAATTTATCAATGCACTGTAGTAAATCTGAGAAAAATTGATAAGCATGTGTATGCAATAGCAATCTGTATTGAATTACGTTTTAATTCCGAATTAACTGCATTTCTTTTATTGAAACTTAGTTGCTCCTGGATGTGAACTGTTAAAGTACCTTATGCTAAGATTCTATAATAAGATTTAATCGTCGTATTGCATAATTGTTAAAGCTACTTATTAATTTTAAGTAGCTGAGTGGAAACTGCCTCTACCTGTTTCATAAATTACCTCCGCCATTATTCAGCAAAGGCTGAAAGTTTTCGGTTAGATTTTAATTTTACCTAAACTTTACGTACGCATTTCTTGCGCATATTACTGATATTTCTCAAGTCCGCTTAAATTTACGTATTCTGTCTTTAAAGAGTTAAATAAAATTTGTTCGGAATTGACATAAAGAGGAGAGTTACAACATTTTAATCTTAACGGTAATATTTCAAACTTAATTGGAATTTAATGCCACCAAGCACATGAGAATTTAAAACAATATTGTTTGTTTAAATGTGACATTGTACTCCTAAGCGAAATAATTTTATTTTTCACCCAATTGACGAATTTGAACACTATTGACTGCCTTCTATACAGTAAGTGTGACGTTTCTCTTGCTTTACCAATAACAAATAAAGTTCTTAATGAGAAGCAGTAATTGTAAAAAATTTCATTTATATTGACGCTTTACTTGAGTAAATAAAAGAAACATAAAATCTAAGAAACAATGCATAGGTAATACTTAGCATTATTGCACAGTAGTAGTTTAATGATATTTCAAGCTAAAAATTATTTTGTATACATTTTTTTTTGGAAAAGATACTTTTTGGATGTGCATTCAAAAGTCAGCCGAAAGTTGTGCCTCCAAAGACCTATGAAAAACTACTGAAACTTTTCATTAATTTATTGCACTAAGACATTTTCTATTCCATAGGACTTAAGCCAAATAAATAAATAAAATTTTCACTTTCCATTATTTGTTTAAACCTACTATCTTGAAGGCGTTTAAATTGCACAAAATGTCACCTATGTGAAAATCAAAAACTAATGAAATTACAGACGAATATCAATATCGACCTTTGATCTAGAAACCCATTAATCAATGGAACGTTTCATGGAATATATTTAATCAATGTTTCACAAAATATTATTATTATTGCCATGTTGAATACTGATTGTACTGAGATACAGCTGATTAGGGTTGGCTCTTGACAATGTTGCACCCCGAAAAACAAATTTAGAAAATATATGCGTATACTTAAGTTATGGGTTCGCATAAAAAAATTACCAGCACTTAAAAATTCAATGTGGATCGTTTATGGTACAATATATTGCGTTACTAAAAATGTACTAAATAGAGAGATGCTATAATTTCAATTAAGCGCAAGAACAGAATTTTCTATGGTGTTGATGATGATGCGCCAGTTTTCACATTGTGCAAGATTTCAAATTTGTTTCCTCTGAGTTCTGATTGGAATAAAACGATTATATGCTGGAACTCACAATAGGCGTATTAATCATTAAAAATTAACAAATGTTTTGTTAATTCAACAAGAAGAAGCCATTTCTGTCAATTTCGAGTTTGTGAATTCACGTACATACAAGTGATAGTACGCATGTAGGCTGTAACCACATTAATTAATTTAGACAAATATAGGGCGAAAGTATAATGATGTCCCACCAATGGGCTTCAAAGACGCTACTCTTCTTTTTAGAAGTTCATGGTCCACATATCCTTGCAATTCAGAATTAAATCTCATGATTGTGTACCAATTCTGATTGGTAAATAAGGGAATAAGCTATCAAGGGCAAAGATGATCCAACTAATCAATGAATTCTCTCCCAATGTGTTGTAATCTGGAACACATTTCCGTTAAATTTGTAACCGATCAAGTTCGACGTTAATATTAACCCCTTTTAAGTTAAAAAACTTCCCTTTTCCTTAATTATCCACTAGTGGTAAGAATTTCCTCCTAATTTTGACCTTAAGCCAATCACTTCTTGCTGACTTGTTAACATTTTATCATTTATACAAAGCTGATTCATATCTATTATCAACATGCGTTACACGTTATGTGCCGTTAGGTCAATGTGATGATCAATTTAACTCAATGCCTCGGAAATTTTATTTCTGAACCAATTTTTAGGAGCTGTCTGCATGTGGTGCTCATACACACAACTCTGAGTGAAAAATACCGTTTTGTCCTCTTGTCAATTTACATATGACGCTGCAATTTTTCCTAATATATTTATTTATATCAAATGGCAGGCGTTTTGATAGTTATCATTAGGCATTTAGCTGATTTCGGGCTTCACAGGGAGGAGGAGGAACATCAAAGTGACAAAAAATCGCGAGGGGGAACAGAAAAGTGATTTACAGATGTAAAGGAGACGGACACACGTAGTGAATAAGGTGAGGCGAGTACTGTGGAAGTGGTCGAATATGACTTACAGTGGGGTCATGGTAGTTTGAAGTCAACTGCCGGTTTATAGCTTTTTTTTGCCGTATGAGTATGCGTTACCCAGGGTGCACCACGTGGAGGTGAGTCTATCGCACACCCCATATCTGAATATATGTATGTGCTTCCTTCCGAATTCCCCCCACCCCCTCCTATTGTCATTATCTATAACCTAATTCCTTCTTAGTCCCTATTCCCATTTTCATACTTAACTTTCCTATATGATGTGTCCCAATGAACGTATATTTAGACTGGAGAGATTTATTTATGATTCAACTTCTATCAACCCTTTAATGCCCTTCAAAATAAACTCCATTGGTACTAGATTCATAAAGGAAGGCACTATTGCCATTTGAACCATGTTTAATACGTGTATGTAGCCTTCGCTTGATTCCCCACCAAAACTCATCACGTCGACATCATTCAGTTGCGAGACACGCGTGAGTGCGTTTGGGTGCATTTTCAACAAAAAATAACTAATTCGGGCGTGAGTGGGTTAATGAAGGTATAATTAGGAGACGCTATTCAATTACAACTAGAATAAGTTCGACTGTTATTCTGAAGAAAATTAGCACACTTATTTTGGGCTATTCATTATGCTATTTATAATCTTTAACAGTAATTTCCACTTAACATCACAAATTGATATTGATGTTTAAGAAGTGGTTATATGTGAGGTGGACAAGAGAGATGTGCCAGTCATTACAGTGCACTTTTGTGGACCAAAATGCTCAGTAATACGTCTATTTTTGCCATCTATGCTTTCAGGTATTGAGCGTGTGGTTCGATCGATCGGTGATACGTTCCTGTGCCAAACTCTCCTACGAAGACGCCTTAGTGTTGATGGAGACTCCCGACAATCATTTGGACAAATTGGCGTCTCGAATTCGTGTCAGTGAACCCTTCACAATCGCCAACGTTAAGCGTTCAGTCATCTACCTTGATATGGTTAGCTTTGATTTATCTTCTGCGCTGAAGAGTGGCATTAGCTCATTTTGTTAACTCCTCATTTACTTGGTTTTTTTTACTGTTGATCTTCAATTAGCTAGCCCAAAAGATGCGAAAACGGCGGATAGACAATGGTGCATTGTTGCTGGATAAAATTGAATTGGAGTTTGATCTTACATCCAAAGAGGATGCATCGTAAGCTGCTTTTTTCTTATTTGTGGTTTATAAAGTTAAATCAAAAACGAAAGTTTTATCTTTGATCCCCAGCAGTTTATGATTTGTCGTAAACCAAGCTTGAAGTTCGCTGTAGTACCAGACAGGCTGTGTACAGTGGGATTCAACTAAGAGGTTAATAATTGTATTTAAGCTTGGTTAGTTTCACGAGGACTGGAAATAACGATACTCTTAACTACTTATTCACTTAAAAGTCATAATTTTGTGTCATGGTTTCTGAATAAAGTCGGAGTTAAATATGATCTTGATATTCGTATCACTTTTCTTTGTCGCCTTTCTACTTACCAATATTCTGCAGTAATCACCTAAGTAGGCGTTCAATATGAAATACCCTGGGGATATGGCAGAGTCGAATGAAAGCCCTGAGGCGATCTATATGAGTATGTAGGATAGCAAAATGAGCCAAGAAGTAATTTGTAGGGTAAGAAGGTGAGGGAGAAAGCTCTGATTTTACCACAATGGTCACTGCTCTCCCCTATTGTAAGGAGTCTTGACTGAGTATATCTCATGGCATATGTCAGTGGTCGCGTACTTCTCACCAACATGTATTCATTTTGCGGAGCCCTTGAAGTACTCATGTCATTCATTTATTTATGGGTAATGGGATTTATTTTGCTTAGTTCCTCGCAATCAGACAGTGTCTCCCAATCATCAAAGGCTGGCTGGCCTCGAGGTTACAAAACCAAGCAGAGAAACCGAGCACATTACTTAATCGAGGAGTGGATGTTAGCGGCAAACCAGGCTGTAGCTCGTTTTCTTTTCCACCAAGTCATTCAGCAGAAGCACAGAGATATTCTTCGTAAGACAGAAAACAGTCCAGCTACCAAAGCAACTCTCATTGCTGCTGTTGGTACAAACCTTGCGATGTTTGGAAGTCAAATGAAGATGTGTAAACACCGTGGAAGCCGACCATCTTCCTTGGGAACGATCCTTCGAAGACATCCAGCTCCTCATGCGATCAAAATGAATGAATTAGTATGCATTGTGTTGATCTTACTATCTTCCGATCTATTCTTAATAATTTGTAAGGATTAATTGAATTTAGTTTAGGTTATTGTTATCATTACCCATTCTGTAAAATTAGGCTCTTCTACGCTGTTGCAATTAGTAATACGTCCATTTTCCGTTAAAACGGTCTAAGTGGTCACTAGATTTTGTTAGCCTGATATTGGGCAAAGGCCCTGGCTGGGGGTGTGGTAGTGGTGGGGTCCAAGATTCCGATTCACATTATTAACTCAAAGGATCTCTAGATGAATTCTTCTCCTTCTGTTGACACTTGGAATCAGACCATCGCCTACTGTCTTTGCTCTAAGTTAAATATTAGTCGCCCGCATATTGATAATGGAGACTGATGACTTAGAGGCAACGTGGGGTAATTGCTCTTCTTTAGACAAGACCCAAACTCTAATTGGATTTCTCACTTGTCTGGGTCATCTTGCATTCTCTTTGAAATGGCTCGTTTTGCTACTAGATACAAATTGCTGAATCGGCTGGCATAGAAATGGAAACGTCATCAGCTGCCGCGATTAGGGTAAGTGGCTTGGCACTGCTTCAATTCTTACTTATTTTACTGTTAATAAATTCTACTCAATCCTGATTGAACATTTTCCAGACTTCATTGGATGCCTATGTCGAGCAGCTGCGAGCAAAAGGAACTCCTGAATTAGAAGTTGAAACTCTTTCAACTGCGTTGAGTTATCTCACCTATATGAGAATGCAGGTAGGTCATATTTACGACTACACTCATTTTGGTATCTCTTTTACTAACACCCGAGTTGCTTTTTTGCAGATGGCTTTATACTTTAATGTAGAGGACGTAGTTAATCGAGCCATCAGAAGGGTTCGAAGCGATGAGTCTGTTACCTCGGCTTCCTCTGATGACCTACCCACGGTTTCTCAGGAATCTTGGGAGTCATCTCTGCTTAGATTCTCCCACCACTTTGGTCTAAATGTTCCCCTCTACACTCACTTCACTTCTCCTATTCGGCGTTATGCTGACTTGCTTGTGCATAGACAGTTGGGTGATCTGCTAAATTGTGGTCACTGGTCCTATCGCCGACCGAATCAGACCTCCAAGGTGGGTTCAGCCTCTGAAGTGTACGGCAAGAATTCGACACTCCCGGCTATTCGTAAGCCAACTATTCAAGCTGCTTGGTGTAATCGAATGCGCCGAGAAACACGTAGAGCCCAAGAAGAGTGCCAACAGCTGTTCCTGACTGCTTGGATTAAGGTGAGTAGCAATAATTAATTAGCATGAGTATTGCAGTATTGAGCCTAGATGATTCTGGCGTAGTGCAACGTATTTGCTGTACTACGGAATGCCTTGGCAACAGTAGCTCAGATTCAGAAGAAATTGTTGATAAGACCTGCGGGTCAGTTAAACTCTTTTCCAGTTAATTTAGAAGTACTACGGCTCGTTTTTTTTAAATTTCATTATTTTCTATCGATTGAATATCTGGGAGACCAGTAATAAACCCACTATAAGGTCTCATTTCTAGTTAAGTTCAGTAGCGAAATGTAGTTTACAGTTCCTATTGATGTTGAGTCTCACGAACACCGATGCTCTAGATTTTGGAAGCTATATAAATGAAAGATTCTTTTCCAATTTTTAGTCAGTTGGATCAATTCAGGAAAACGCGGTTGTCCTAAGTTTAAGCGCCAGCAAAATCCAACTTCTTATTCCTACTTGTGGCTTAGTTATCAATCATCAGTTGGCAACAGTAAGTTCTGAGCTTAATCTCAATACGTATATTTGCTACTGAATTAATTTCAGTATTATTATTCTTTTTTTCTGTAGTTCTGTCGAGAAGCCAGTGGTTGGCAATCGGAGAATGAAGAGGAAAGTAAAGCGCCTTCCATAACTGTGACGTGGGAAGGTAGGAAGAACTTGGCAGATGAGGGCGAAAACAGGGAGGAGAAGAACCAGGGAGCTGATGAAAAACCCGCAGAGTCTATCACAAAGCTCTCCATTCTCTCCGTGTGCCCTGTTAAACTGACTTGCAGTTCAAGGGGTTTTTATGCCAAGGCAAAGCTTCTGCCTCCTTGGAGTAGTACTAAAACGTGAAATTACAGTCAAGTGACTGGAATCAGATTCCGGTCCATGTACAGATGTATCATATTCAGATTAGCTTGTTTTCCTTTCGCAGAGAAATGATGCAAAACGGCCAATTGTATTGATGACCTGTATTGAACCTTATTTTACTACCCTTGTGAGGTGTGTGCAGTAGAATACATGGCAATAAAGTGTCATTCTGGTTGTTTTAAAATTGAATGGGGGGGGGGAAGTGGGGGAGTAGTAGGCAAAAGATTAACTCATTAAACCTTTTTATTTTTTTCTCTTTATTAATTAATATACTTGTGAACCCTGAAATAGGACTCTTCCTTAAAATCCTAGACAAAAGTTTCAAAATTAAGACTTCTACAGTGCGTTTCGGATCAGAAATTCGCAGATGAACTAAATCGTATTATTCTCATTATCAATCTTTCAATAAATAATTTCTAAAATTGAAAAAAAGTTAAAAGACACAAATGGAAAACATAGGAGAAAGAGAAGCGAAACATATTGATTGAGAAGTATTTATTTATTTCAAATGGCAGGCTTTATGATATTTATCATTAGCCCTTAATCTTTGACTTCAGCTTCCCCCAGAGGGGGGGGGGTACATTTATAGCAGTTAATTAATAGTAATTCATTAGCAGCCTTCTTGCTTCCCAGTATCTCTGGCTTTCCGTCGTTGTCTTTAGGGCTAGACACCGAATCAGGTGGGTCTTCTCCATTTCCTCATTTAGGTTACATAGAGGGCATGTGGGTTGAGTGTATACTCCCAATCTCTGAAGGTGTTTTGCCAGGCAATCGTGTCCGGTACGTAGTCTAAACTCAGCAACGGCTTCGCTTCTTGGCCAGTCGGGTATGTCGGAGAGTGCCACTGTCCACTGTTTCTCCTTTGTTCGAGCTTTGAGTTCGTTGAACCTTGAGGTCTTGAATTCTCTCCTGATTAAGGCCTTCACTGTGTGGAAAGACATCGGCTGGTCCATGCATTGCAAAATCGTTGTCCCCTTCTTAGCAAGTGTGTCAGCAAGTTCATTGCCTTTAATGCCACAGTGACCAGGAATCCATTGTAGGACCACTGT